GTACGCTGGCTGTTCTATTGATGTGTTATTTGGCGGCAGCTGAGGTAAGGACTTGTACCGTTTTATGATACCTTTACTGTGTGTTATAAAGTATTGTCATTGTGTAGAATCGTGGCACGTTGATGCCGTTCTGTGGCGGGTTATCACAAGGATGGAAATTTACAGCGTGTTGGAAATCTGCCCGGCGTCGTCAGTCGGTAACCAAGACCACATGTCACAATTTTTTTTCTGTCCAGCGCAGCAAATTATGTACGGCAAAAATTTCCGCTTTTTGAACGCCACTTTGGTTGAGAACGCTCATAACAGGGTTTCACTTATAGCTTAGGTTGTAAGGCCGTGTCTGTTGAGATAGAGAAGTACCCTAATACTGACAGTGTCAAATCACGTAAGAGATACTACGTAAGAGATAACTCAGCGACCCCCATGTCAGACCGCATGTCCTAGACGCAACAACAAGGATTCTTCGTCTGAAAGTCTTGCCCTAGAACAAGGAAGTTTCATATAGCTCTACTGCCTCTGGGTTTTCAGTGTTTTGTTATGCATATTTTGTTGGCTCATAGCAGTGCGAAGTACCTTTGAGTCACAAATGAAAAAGTAAACACGTTGAATTCTTGCTATCGCTGCGCCTAGAGACATGAGAGACCAGAAGTTAGGTGAAAAACGGACACGACTTTTGAAAGTTTTTCCTGTGGAGTCGGTTTGGTCGGTCTTGCTGAGACATTCCAGGCGAGGTATTGAAAGTACGCCGCTTCAAATCAGAACCATGCATCAAACCGAGAAATCAAACTGGATCCAGATGCACCCCGCGGCCCGGAGACTTCTCCTCGGTCCCAGTTCGCTGTTATCGGAGTTACGCCTACCTCACAGAAGGGTGGTAGCCCGGCCACAGGACTGGGGTCTCAGAATAGGATACAAAAGGGTAGAATTGGGCCAGAAGAAGGGAAGTGTAGAACTCCAGTTTGTGCCGCTCTTCTTTAAAATCATGGACATGTCTCTGTCGGTTATCTAGTGACCGTGTTGCCGTAACTGGGCGCTTTTACTTGTATTTTGCTCAGTCGTGCTTTCAAGGTCTCTGGACCACAAGTCGGTGCAGATACTAGTACCGCATCTTTTGATCGATAGATGTTTTTGTTTTTTTCGGGAGAGAGGCGGCCCTCCTACGGTTGCCTGTAATGAATTTCGTTAATTATCGAATTCCCAAGCTTCATTTTGCATGCATCGAGTAAAATTATGCATTTCTCCTGAAATTAAGCCAATCGCAATTCGCGGAAAAACTTTTCCAGATGCAGAATAATTCACACATCAGTGTAACTTTTCTAAGCCGTTCTCTAACTCCCCCATTCCACTTTGCGTTCTCTATTGATACATAATCATGCTCTCTCGATAACCACATTTGACATGGTTAGAAGGGTTGTAAATCCTGTCGTCTGATTTACGCACACACTTGAAGTAGGAGGAGGAGGTCGAACCAGGCCCCGGGAACTTAGTTATTCTTCAAAACAAATTTATGGGCTGCCTCTTCCGTTTTGTCAAACTGATTTCTAATGGAGTGTTTGGAATCGGTGTGCGCAATAATTAATCCCCAAGCAGATCATACAGTGTCAAGGCAGTATGCACGCAGTATGGACACTCCTCTGGCCAATATATACTGCCTTGCCACCGTATGGTCTGTTTGGAGATTAGCAATGAGCAATAATATACATTCCTTGGCCTGGCACAAATTAATCACGTTAGCTTCTTCCGTCAAACCTTCACGCGTGAAAAAACCCAACATCGAGAAGAATAGGGCGGGCTGGTGTGTCTGATTACTAGTATAAACACTTGCCTCCAAGCAGTCTGGCTTCCAGGCTAAATTGGACGGAAAGGGAAAAGGAAGAATGTTCTCTGCTAGCCTCTATCAGGCTTTGGGAGGCGGCTAGCGCTGGAAAGAGTAGAAATTGGCAAAATAGAGAGATAGCGTGCCAGGGGAGTTGGTCCGACAGAGAGTTCATTTTGCCGCACCCGAATAACTCCCTCGGCATGTTTTTGGCCAATTCCAGCCGCCTCCCGAAGCCTGGTAGAGGCTAATGTTGTGCCACATCTGCCCGAAGGTTGTTCTTGCAGTGCTGTTCCTGATCCTGTAGGGGCGACCCAGGAGGGCTCCCCGCAGTTAATCCATTTTCTACTCGTTTATCAGGCGGCAGATCCGGCCCAGATAGGGAGGTAATAATACTCCGAAATAGCCGCGATAAGGCTGGGGAGGCTGGGGAGGGGGGTTGGCTCTCGGGGAGGGGCTTCTCGCGAGTCTCCAAGCAGATGTAATAATCTGTCTCCGTCTCATCGTGCTACGTATATACGCGTGTCTTTATGCCATTTAGTACATAATTGTTAGCCACCGCGGATCGCTGGAAAATAGTAGAAATTGACCAAAATAATAGGAAATAGTAGACCAGGGGAGTTAGCCGACCAGAGAGGGTACATATTTTCTGCGACCCACGCGAGGCCACGGATGCGGCAAAAATGTACTACTCTAGCGAACGAACTCCCCTGGCAGGTTATCTCTCTATTTGGCAAATCTTCTCTTTCCAGTCGCCTTCCTAAGCCTGGTAGAGGCTACATAACTGTTGTCCTGTAGTAGTGCACCTATTTTTTACCCCTCGCCTTCTCCCAAAACACCGGGTCCTACACCTGCTTAGTCAAGTGAAAGACAAGACAATATACTGCATATAAATACGTGCGACGTTGATATTACATGTATTGCATATCACTCCGACTCAGAGGCTTGGGCTTTCTCTTACTTGCTGGCTGTCGAGGCATCAGAACATGTGGATTTTTGCACACATAAAAACTCAGTCAGTTTCAACTTGCAAGACTGATGTGAACGCTTATGAACACAGATTGCACAGATGGACAGAGACCAGACAGGAATCTTCCTGTTAGTCAGTTATAAGATTATCCTGACGGAAATGCCAAAGTCTCGAAATGGTGGGAATCTTGGCCTGAGTCTCTGGACGTTACATTTGTTTTTAATATCCGCCTCACGTCTGCATGTTTGCAAAGTAATATGACATGCGGAACTACTTTTTCTGGTTGTCATCGGACAACGACGACTAGAAAATTGATGCAGGTAACCCTGTAGGTTGATGTAATGTCCAAGGACACTATACCGGACTTCTTTCCGCATAAATGTCTTTGAAAAACAACGAAGCCATTCCTAAACTGAACATGTGCCTTGCTCTCAGGTTGAATGACGATCACCCCCTTTCGACTTTAAAGCTAAGGTCCCAATTGGGAAAAGGGGCCCTGGCGGGTAGTTCCCGGGCTGTTTTTACCACTTTCGAGCGGGACCCCGACGTGGCCCCGCGGGGCACCCTGCGGCTACCGGGCTATTTTTTTGGCCCGTCGGGGCCCCGATAAGAATTTAATTCTGAGTTAAATTCTACCCGGGCCCCGCTGACAAAAAGACGCCGTGACCTCATCATGAGAACACCGAGAAGTACCCCTTCGGTTGCCGGCAGTCCACCGGGACACATTTCTTACGTCACAGACCAGATGAACAGAATAAAGGTGTATACTTCGTAAACCCGAGTAAAATGTGTGACCTCACAGATCAAATGATCACAACAAATACGTGAATTCTGCATTACGTATAGGTCAATACAAGACATCGTCAGAGAATCTGCTGGGTACCTGCCGGGTGCCTGCCGGATACCGACCAAAGAGGGTGACAAAATTTCTAACAAAATGCTACTGAAGGAAACTTTTAATTGTGACCACGACAGCCGATGCCCGCTCGACTCCTGAACCCGGCCGGGGCCAGCCGGGGCTACATCCCCGACGGGCACCGGCGTAATTGGGACCTTAGCTTAACAGAGCTCTTACTAGTCGTAGAACTCCTCAGGATAAGGTATTGGAATGTCGCAATATCCTTCAACTTGGACGCCTTCTATTGCCCAACACCGCTGCCCGGGGCGCTATACTAGATTACTGGCTATATTCCAGCAAGAACTAAAACAACAGCAAACTCGTTTCCCTACTAGTGCTCTTGTCCCGGGCAGTACTTGGAATAACAAAGTCAGTGGGAGGCCAAACTTGGCCGCCGACCTGCCAACACCTACCCAATCTGCTGGCAATGTCTCACGGTCACGGTTTCTCACGGCCAAGTCTGTCTGTCTGTCGGAGTGTTTTCTTAAGCTTTCTTGGCCTCTGGCTGCAGCTTAGTGAGTGATGATTGATCGGTTAATCCACTGATTGACAGACGGGAGTGCTAGAAGACTTTTTGATACTATATTGTCACCACGTAAGGGACCCGAAGGTTACGAGTTAGGATCAGGACTGCAACAGTAGCTCTCCCTCAGTCATAGTTTTTCCGAAAACAATAGCTATATAAATTTGACAAAACAGCAGACGCACCTTATTATATTATTGAACACAAAACTTAGTGACGCTACACTAACAGTATGAGTATAGGCATTTAGGACTAGCTATCAGTCCTTGCCAGACTACTGTTTCTCCTGCAAAGTTATGCAGCTTGTCCAAGGTTATATGTCATTCGTTGCGGTCAAAGGTTCGAATCTAGGCGCCCCCATATAGTTGTCCTGGCTATCAGTTCTTGCATCTCCAAGGGACACACACTAAACCTTGAAACTTTCGCGGGGGTTTCCTGGAGTATCTGTACACGTGCCAGTGTGACGATATCGACGTATAAACGCACAAGATGGCCTAATGAGAACGGGTTTTCTGCGCGTTCTGCCCTTGAAAGTTGAGATTGACCCGTAAAAATTCCCCATGTCAGAAAATTGCCAGTGCAAGATGGCAGATTTCGAGAATCCCGTAGAGATCACTGAGACTACCACATGGCACATGTCAAAGGTTTTGTGTTTCAACTTTAAGTTCTGGCAAATATGCCTTAATGCCAAGATATTTCCTCGGTATTAGCCTCGGTGAAACATAAGACTGCGGGGCACGTCGGAGCACAGTCTGTGTATAATGACGGGCGACGGTGGCTTCCTGCCAGTTCACCTGAAGATTCGCATCTCCATATGTGTGAGGTGGGGGGGTGGGG